TCGGGAACAATCGTTGACTTTCAATTTATTGAAGACACAGTTATTAATTAAACACATTTTTTTAAATAAGCACAATTAAAATAATCTTGTTTTTATTTAAAGTATTTAATAGCAGAGAAATTACACTAATGACAGTGACAATTTGCTTGATTTGGTACAGTATTGCCAGAATGTTTTTGTTATGTACCAGATTTGTCTAAAAAAATGTACCAGATTCCTTAAATGTATCAGATTTTTCAAATTATATTTGCAGTGACATCTAATTCATTGAAAAGAAAAAGGGGGTCTTTATTGATAACGAACCCAAACAAAGAACACAATATGTATATAGTTTACACGTGCACACTGATGCACGCAGAAAGTACTACATCTAGTACAATTGTGAATTGTACTAGACTGGCAACACTGGTTTGGCAACCTTGTTTATGAGCGACGCGCCAATTAATGTGTTCTTTGACAGTTTGAAGCATCTGTTGGCGTGTTGTCTTCTCTTTTTAGCTATATGTATTCGGCATATCGTCTCACTCGTTTTAGGCTCACTAATCATAATGCGCTACAGACACAGTATACTTAGATATACTGTGACACAGAGACGCGATCAGCCAGAGGATAATGATGTACAAAAAAATATAGAATAACACGTATAAAAATAATAAAATATAATTTATATTTTTATGTTATTTATGTAATATTAAAATAATGTGTTTTTATGAAATTTACCTGGGTGTTCACTGCACAAATGAATCAATGGAGAAACCGCCCCTGTTGAGAATAAATATAATTTAAAATGTGTGTTTTTCTGAAGAATCGATTAAAAAAATAATGGCATTCCACAAGATATTCGACTATATTTACAAATAAATCGTAAAGTTTATTGACACTGAACCAATCTAATTATCAGTATTAAAAAAAGTTGTTTGTTTCGTTATTGCAAAGGAGTAGTGAGTTTTCATGCGAAAGGTCTGGAGTTCAAATCCAGGACGAGGACTAATTAAAATATTTTTAAAATATTTATTTTATCCTAACCTATAAATTAATTTAAAAATTTTGAATGTTTTCGTTTGTGGGTTGTAGAAAAAAATTACTACACAATTGAGTTCCTATAGCGTCGTGCTCAAACTTTGTCTTCATATACGTTCTTGTTACATAAATTACTGTTTTTTTTTGAGTTATTTTAAATTAGTGTCAAACTAATTATCTTATTTTTTTATTCGGATAAAATATAATTAAAAATGCATGATTCTCATAACGAATCGATAAATAATAACAATCCATTAGATATTCATCGTTAATAGTTAAAGAAACCGAAAATTTTGGTAAAATTATATCAATATGACTTAAAGCATTTATTTAAGTGTAAATCTTAAAGAGAATTAAATGATAAGTTATCGCGAAAGTCTAAGAGATGAGTTTTTGTACAAAAGGTCAGAGGTTCAAATTCGGGTTGAATTCAAGAAAATTGGTTTTTTATTCAAGTTTATCTATTATATAATTTGGTACTATCCAGAAATTCAAATCTTTGTGTTAATTATTTTTAAAATAGTAATTTTATGTTAATAAAATTACTATTACTATTTCTTTTTAAGAAGTTGTAGTTTTTCTTTGGTGATTCGTAGAAATATACTAAACAATTCGAGTGGTTTGCTTGTATCGCACTGAATACTTTATTGAATTTTTGTAGATCGTATGTTTTGAAAATAATACGAAACGGAACATACCGTAACAAAGTCAGTCTTCACAAAATTTACGTTTTACAATAAAAAATTACCTATGTACAAAAACAAATGTAGTATTCTCTAATCAATCCCTTTATTATTTATTATTGTTTTTGAAATTGTAGGTGTTAGTTTTTTGAAATAATCTTAACATTATTTTTAAAATTTTCTGTCAATCATACCTATTCCTATTTATACAAAAAATGTAGACATAATGTCGGAAGTTTAATACAACTTGGCATTAATAGGTTATACAGGGTGTCTGTAAAAGGTCTTTACAAAAACATACCACATATTTTGGTTTACCTTTATTGCATGCGGATTTTCAACGGCATAAACATGTTCATTATGGGTATTAGTTATACATCTTCTTGTAAAACCCGCTTCATCGGTAAAGAGAACCTTCTTGACAAAGTTTGGATCTCTTTCTCTTTGCATATTAATAAATTGACAAAAACCCAAACGAATTTGACGATCATGGACTAATAATTCTTGTACTGGCTTCTTATGGTATGGATATAGCAATTGTTCTCCAAGCACTTTATGAACGACATTTTCACTTACTCCTAGTTCCCTTCCAATTCGTCTGGTGCTTAATTCTGGATCTTCTTCAACGCGTTCTAAAATGTCTTCTTCAACTTCAGGAATCCTTACAAAACGTTCTCTTCCATTATCAACAGTGTTGGGAGCAAAGGAACCGGTCTCCCGAAGACGTCTCTCAACAGCAGCAAAAGTTGGGTGGCTAGGTACACGACAATTTGAAAACCTTTTAGAGTACACTCTCTCGAGCATTTTCTTTACAAAATCCTAATGTCAGTAACATATCGGTATATTTTGCATTGGTATATTGTACAGCCATATTAATAAACCACGCATTTGTTTTTTTAATTATTGAGTCAGATAGAACACTTTCAATCGTTAACAAGAGATTAGGTGTTAAAACTTGACAATATCAGAGAAAACACGAGACGGTTAACTTCATAGCAAAAATTGATTGACATTTAGGTATAGTAGTCATCAGGGTCAGCTGGTATTTTATCTTTGTCATGTACATTATTTCCTTATAACGTTATCTTGTTCTCATAAACTAAAAGATAGGGTAGATGTCGCTGGTAACGTTTCAGCAATGTTGCCGTTATGAACATTTTCCAAATTTGTTTCTTTTACATTTAAATAATAATGATCTTATTTATTCATAAGTAATACTTATATATACAACAAAAGATATGTTTTAAGAAATATATAGCAGGATTGTGTACAAAGAACAAAAATAAAAAGTCAATAGCACTAGAAGAAAGTAAGTTTGGCATCACAGCACGAGCATTTCACTTTGACGTCTGCCAGATTGACGTATTTCTAACCTATAATTTTATCTCCTTGTCCAATTTTTTGTTTCTATGTTTGGTGACTTTGGTGTCGTTTTAATTATATATATTTTACAATTTAACCTGTAAATTCATTTTTTTGGTTGTTTTTCATTCATTATTAGTTACGTTTTTAAATTTGTTAGTGGTGTTTTCCCCGGTGAATGACATTTTTATCGTGGTATTTTCATATTAGGTAGTTTTAAGTTTGTTAACAAACCCGAAGGAACTAACAATGCCCGGATCACGCCGGGATTTTGTTTAATTTCCATAAAGTAAGTATTTCAATTTTATTGTAGAACCTTTGTGGTGTGAATGTTTATTATTGTTTAATACAGAATATATCTTATTATTGAAATCATACTTCGTTTTATTTTCCTTTTCAATGCTTTTTATTTTGTGTGCCTAAAAAAAAATTTTTTTTCTGATTTGATGTGCTAGTAAATGTGAATTACATATTTATTCACATTTCCAGTGCATCAAATCAGAAAAAAAATCATAAAAATAATAGATAAAGTGGATCTACATATTTGAATTTCCCGCGGTTCTTCTTTTTTAAAGAAACATTATAAATTTACTGGTTGCTTATAAAGACAAAGGCCACTATTAAAACAAGGTATACCAGCGCCATCGGCCTTATCTTCCAGTCCAATCGCCCAGTCAATTCTTGGTGAAAAGCAAAATTGCATTGAGTTAACCGTCTCATTAGTTGTCTCTCACAATATTTTTATTTAGACGAAACTATGGAAACCAACAATAAATGTTTTTGTGTACGTATTGAAGGCAAATAATTAATATTCCTCAAAAAATCGTACATGGCAAGAATAGAGTATTTTTGTTAAAAGTCTCGATTAGAGGTGTTGAAGAAGATATGAAAAAAGTACATTTTTATGTTTTTCATCGTATAAAATTTTGTCCGATAATAATACTACGCCTATGTTGATTTTTTAAATAATTGCACCTTTAAAAATTCTATGCCAATGGCAAAAAAGGGGTTTGATTATGAAATTTGGATTGGGTACTCATTTACTTCAAAAAAGTACCCTTGATAACAATCGATTTACTCTCATGGTTTTGACAAAGTTTGTATTTTAATAATTATTGTTTATGTTCTAAAATTACTAAAATGCAAATTTCGTCAAAACCATGAGAGTAATCGAGTATTATCAAGAGTACCTTTTTTAAAGTAAATGAGTTGCGCAATCTAAATTTTATACTCAAACTTTTTTTCTTCCATTGGCGTAGAATTTTTAAAGGTGCAATTATTTAAAAACTCAAGTTCTACGCCTATGTATTATTATCGGACAAAATTCGCATATGCCGTTTTAAATTTATATGGGAAAAACGATTTAAAAATTGTAACTTCAAGGCCCTCTGGAGCAAAAACGAAGCAACTTTATACTAAGGTAATTTTACTTAAATGGACTTATTTTGGTCTAAGGAATATGTGGTATGTTTTTGTAAATACCTTTTACAGACACCCTGTATATCCACTCAACGCTTTGACCTGATTTTATTTAGCGGAAACCGGTAGCATTTATAGAAAAAAGTTTTGAGTAAAATACTTTATTAAACAGTAATTGAACGTAGTTGGTTTCCAACATATGTACCGGTTCTCAGTTGTGATTTGGTCACTTTTCAACTCCCGCCTTAATACAAACCCAAATCAAAAAAACAGCGATAATGGCGCTTGTCCAAAATTTTGAACGAATTAAAAAATTCTAAAATAATTGGAAGAAATTAAACATCAATTTTTAATTACCACAAGCCGCCACTGCTGAGTATATGTAAACCACTATTACTTTCAGAGTTGTAAGTTGGAATTTGTAAATACAAAATTGCAGCCCTTCTGTACCTTCGTACAAATAACTAAAATATCCAAAAAAGTGTAGCCGTAGAAAAATATAACATATTATTACAGTTCATCTCAATGTATTGACCCAAGAGGCACTAGATCACGCTGACTTGACCGTTCTAACGGGTACAATAGGAGCAGCTGCATTACTAAAAAACTGCTTGTGGTTTTACATCAAAATCATGAAAGACGACAGGAAAATATCCATAGAAGAAATACAAAACAGCTACAAGAAATACCACGAGATGTGCGAAGCTTTAGCGGAACGATTGCTTGATCTTCATTGTAGGTTAGTTTCCTTGTACATCTTGCAGGACGATGAGTGTCTTGATTGGGAGAACGAAAAGCCATTCTTCGAATCGGAACGAGGTTCTTATGTTATACAAATGTGGTGGCTGTATATGAAAGGTATGATATACCTACTGGTAAACATTTTTAAAGATAAGGTACCATTTTTACGCAGGGTTAAAGAGAGGTATATAGGTACCTACTTGTAAAATCCCTTCTTCACAATTCTGCCGTGCTTCGCAAAAACGCCTTATTTACTATAAATTCGTAAAGTGAGGTTTCAAACCTATACTGGCATAAAATTTAATTTTCTATCCATATAACTTAACCAAACTGCCGCATGTACCTCCAAAACCATAGGACAAAGGCCCTTATTTTCCCGCATCTGACAAAAATATTGGAGCATGCTTAGTAAGAACGCAATAACTTATACATGCTTATCAAAAATGCGGCATCTGTCTATCAGATGCGGCGTTTTTATTAGGTACGCATGAGATAATGCGTTTTTGCTAAGCACGGGCCACATGTTTCGTCACCCTATTTTAGATGGTTGTTTACTTCAGCAGCGCGATTCTGATTATTTATTACGTTACGTCCCGTTTCTCTACCTTCCGTTCGACTGGCATGTCGGTACCCATTACGGTACCTAGTAAAATTTGATTCTAATCACCTCTCGAGTATTGACAGACGGTTTGTTTTGACAGTTAGATTGCCCGTCTCATGTCACTGGTTTTACTTTTGACTCCATATTCCATAAATACGCTTGATACACAATTATTATTTTTTATTATAATAATAATAATGTTTATTTACAGATAACTTGTTTTTACAGTAATACGCTAAAATAAAAATTATAAATATTATAAATACTGTAAATAAACACAGGTGACCCATAAAACCTAAGGGTTGTGCAAGGGCTTGATAATTTATTTAAATCATTTACTTTATTTATTAATTTTTTTAACAGCTTTATAATATACATATAAATTATAGTTATAAAGTAATGTAATGTACCTAATGTTTTTTTTTATCATTTTTTTTTTAACTTAATTTGAATATTTTAAACTAACTACAACTATCTACCAAATAATGTAATATATTTCTATCGGTAATTTTAAGAAATGATTTTATTCTGGACTTAAAAAGATTATATGAATTTATTGTCCTTATGAACAATTTGTAAATATCTGGAAAAAAGTTATAAATTTTTTTTGCTAAATAACTTAGTTTCCTCTGACCTAATGCTTTTTTGGCAATAGGAATTCTAGTATTTCCTGCATGTCTAGGTCGAGTTTCATAAGTGTGTTCAATTCCACAGATTGAAGATCTATTTTTGTAAAGATAGTTTGAACATTATAAACGAAGAGTTGTCGAATATCAAAAATTTGTGTTTCTTGAAACAATAGGTTTGAAGGGTAAGTTATATCTTTAAAATACATTATTTTAATTATTTTTTTTTTTTGAATGATCTCAAGTTTTCTTAGGTGGGTCAGCAAAACTGAGCCCCAGACTAATATGGCATATGATAAACGTGACTCCACAAATGCGTGATATAACATTTTCAGGTGAGTTATGTCTAAACAATTTCGCATATATTTAAATTTATATAAAACTAGTCTTAAATTATTTACAATGTTATTTATGTGTTTATCCCATTTCAAATGAGAATCTATATGAATTCCTAGATATTTAGCCTCATGTTTGAGGAAAATATTTATTTGGTGTCCATGATTAATGATTGTAAGTTTATTCAATTTAGGAAGACCTGTTTTATAGCTGGCAAACGGAATGGCTAATGTCTTATCCATGTTAATTGTTAATTTGTAATGCGAAAACCAATCAAACACATTTTTTAAATCATTTTCACAAAGTTCTTTAACTGCGTCCCAAGTTTTAGCCGAGTATAAGATTAATGTGTCATCCGCAAAGCTTATTACTTCTCCTTTTATTTCTTTTGAAACCAATAATTTATTAATATAAAGGAGAAATAAAATTGGCCCGAGTATAGTACCTTGTGGGACACCATATTTTATAGGTTCATAAGAGCTTACATATTTATTTATTTTTACTGCTTGAACCCTTTCACTTAAATAACTAGAGAAAAGGTCCAAGATTTACCTCTGACACCCACTTCCTCTAAGACCTCCAACAGCTGCATTGACATACAGTGTCGAAAGCCTTTGCCAGGTCAAGAAAAATACACATCGTGGGAACGCTTTTATCTATATTACTGTACAATATATCTGTTAGATGACACATAGCATCAGTGGAAGATAAGCCGTTTTGGAAACCATATTGCTTTGAACCTATAATATTATATTTATCAATGTATTTAGTTAGTCTATTTTTCAAAGCTTTTTCTACGTTTTTTGATAAAGTGGTAATTAAGGAAATAGGTCTGTAGTTACTCATTTTATTTTTGGGTCCTTTTTTATGAACTGGGATAACCACTGATTTTTTAAGGTCAGTGGGAAAAATTCCTGTTTCAAAAATTTTATTAATTAAATGGCTAAGGGGATTTGCAATCTCATGATCTATTTCCTTAAATATCTCACTTTTTAGTTTATCATACTGGTGTTTTGTTTATTTTTAACGTTTTTATAATTTCTTTAACTTTAATTATATCTACAGGTTCTAAAAAGAATGACTGTATTGTGCTATTTTTCCCAGGTTTGGGCGATAGTGAAGGAACTATTTTTGAGGCCAGTTTCTCTCCTACTTTGGAGAAATACATATTAAAGCCTTCGGCTTGTTCTTCCTCGCTTATAAGAATTTCATTACTTTTAATAAGTATTTTTTTATACTATCTTTTTTCTCTGGTACATCAATTTCCCTAACTATTTTCTACAAATTTTTATTACTATATTTATTTTTATTTATTTTATTATTATAAATTTATTATTTTATTATATAAATTTCAATTTGGGCATAAATCAGACGTGAGTACACAGGTAATATATTTCATAAATATATTATACTCACTTGATCAATATTTGAATATATACAAAGTATCATTACGTACATTCAATTTTAGATTTATTCATAAGTTACTGATGCTATCAATGACAATCTAACTGGTGAACATATACGATTTCCAAAAACAGTAGTTAAACAAAATGAAATTGAACAACAGTTCATGGACAAGTTTAATTTTCCTTCAGTTATACGAGGTGTAGATGGCACCCACGTTGCAATTTTAAAATCGCAGATAGATAAACACAATTTTCTTAATAGGAGAAACACTTTCATTCTATTAATATAAAAATTATATGTGATGCAGATTTAAAGATACGTGCAATTAATGCGAATTATGGTGGTGCTTTTATATGAAGATTTTCTGCTGTAAAGCAGTATCTTCATGGTGAGTATTTAATAGGAATGCGACATACTTGTTTGATAAGAGATTCTAGTTATTCATTTTTAATGGTTCCATTTTTGAATCCCTCTGATGACTCACCTGAAAGCTATTACAATTTTTCACATATCCGGGCCAGTAACTGCGTTGAAAGATGTGGGTTTTGAAAACCCGTTTTCGTTGCTTGTTACCCAGCAAACACACATACGTACATAAGACGTACTATGTACGTACTGATGGGACGTAAAGTACGTACACGGTACGTACTTTACTGTACGAAGTACGTACATAGTACGTACATAATACGTACATTTTCCAAACGACGGTACGTACCTAGTACGTACTTAAAGTACGTACTCTGTACGTACCTAATGTACGTACTCTGTACGTACCTAATGTACATACTGTGTACGTACTTAATGTATGTACTTAATGTACATACTATGTACGTACTATGTTTGCACTTATTCCAATAGAGTACATATTCTAGACGTTCTTTTCATCCTTATTGGTACTTACTTATGATGTAAAATGTACATATTAGTACAATACAAAAAAAAAAGTAAACAAGTTAATTTGCATTTTTTTAATTTTTTATATTAAAAGAATAATTTAAATTGTTTTGCTATGTTTTTTTAAAGTTTTTAGACTATCATCAGCTTTCTTAGCCATCTCACAATTTCCTGTTCTGCAACCTTCTTCTCTTTGTATTTGCTACTTTTAACAGCACCTTCTGCAAAGAAATAATATCAAATTAGAAACTTAACTTGGGTACTTTTTATAATAAGTAATATAATAAAAACAACATAACAAAAAGACGTAGAGTAAAGTAAGCGATAGTTTCTACGGCTCAAAATTATCATTGTCAATATACTCCTGGATGTAAACCTCTCTAATTTGTATCCACCTCTTTTGGCTTTATGCCTTTGAAATCCAATTTGTTCCTGACACTGCTCTATAATGTCGGAACTCCTTTATTTCTTTTTCTCCGCCAGTTTTGAAGTCCAATGGTTGGAAGTACACAATTTCATTAGATACAAAAATAATTGTGACTGGATAGAGGGTTTTTAATGCAACAACTTTATGAAAACTGGCATGCAAAAATAAAAAATCAAAACATCTTACCCACTACAACTGCAGCCAATTATAATTTGTTGCCAGCTGATTATAGTTATTAAGGTAGCAGCCATACTCCTTTTGACAAAATCCAAAATTAAATTATTAGGGTCTGTAAAATATCACTTCTTTTGTCCTCCTGTTTATTCATTTCCTTAAACTTTTTCAATTGTTTTGTAGCATTTTTGTAATGTTTACTATGGGATGGGAGACATATCTATAAATTATATTTATTACACATAATTTTTTAAAATTAAAATGAAACCACTCACCAGAATAAAATGACAAAACTATGTACTTATAAGACGCACTAAAAAGTAATTATAATACATTATACACAATTATTTATTTAAAGAAACACTTAATACTTAAATTCTTAAACATAAAAAAACTAACAATAACAAACTGTTGAAACTGTTGAAACCGTTGAAACGTGGTTGCTTTAAAAAACGAGCGCGTTTAGTTTAGAGTTTATGTTAGGTTAAATAAAATGTGTTTCTTCTTTGCATTTTTTTGTCTTTTTGGCGTACGGTCAACAGAAATTTGGTAAAAACTTAGGTTTTTCAATAAAATAGGTATGCAACCAGGATTACGTACACTTAGGTACGTACTTAGTACGTATTTTTCTGTACGTACTGGTACGTACTAT